CTTTCTTTCTTTCTTTCTTTCTTTCTTTCTTTCTTTCTTTCTTTCTTCCTTCCTTCCTTCCTTCCTTCCTTCCTTCCTTCCTTCCTTCCTTCTTTCTTTCTTTCTTTCTTTCTTTCTTCTTTCTTTCTTCTTTCTTTCTCCTGGAAATAAATTAGAAATTTTCTGACAGTGAGAACAATCAACCAATGGAACAGAAGTTGCCCTTGGAAGTTGTGGGAGCTTCATCACTGGAGGCTTTCACGAAGAGGCTGGACTGCCATCTGTCAGAAATTGTGTAGTGTCTCCTACCTGGGCAGGGGGTTGGACTAGATGACCTACAAGATCCCTTCCCACTCTGTTAATCTGTATCTATATTCAAATCAGAAGCGGTTATTTATTCATTTATGAAAATGGATATGGCCACCCAAACCCACCCTCAATGATTCTGGGTGGCGTATGAGAATAAAATCCCAATATGTGTACTGCAACCAATTTTGGTCACCATACTACAAAAAAAGATGTTGAGACTTTGGAAAAAGTTCAGAGAAGAGCAACTAAGATGATCAAAGGCCTGGAGACTAAAATATACGAAGAACGGTTGCTGGATTTGGGTATGGCCAGTCTAGAGAAAAGAAAGACTTGAGGGGACATGATAGCAGCATTCCAGTACTTGAGGGGCTGCCACAAAAAAAGGGGGTCAACTCACTTTCCAAAGCAAGGCAAGACAAGAAACAATGGATGGAAACTAACCAAGGAGAGAAGCAACCTAGAATTAAAGAGAAACTTCCTAACAGTGAGGACAATTAACCAGTGGAACAGCTTGCCACAAGAAGCTGTAGCTGCTCCATCACTGGAGGTTTTTAAGTAAAGACTGGGTAGTCCCTTGTCTGAGATGGTATAGGTTCTCCTGCTTGAGCAGGGGGCTGGACTAGAAGACCTCCAAGGTCCCTTCCAGCTCTATTCTATTCCATTTTATTTTATTCTAATCTTCAACTAACTATCACAATTGAGCCCAACATTTCTATGGCTAAGAGAGGCAGTGGTGAGGTGAGTTGTGCCCCATTCTATGACTTTTCTTGCCATTGTTTATTAAGGATAATCACTGCAGTTGTTAAATTAGCCGCACGGTTGTTCAGTGAATCTGGCTTCTCTGTTAACTTTGCCGGTCACATTACCCTGGGACTCCGCAATCGTCATAAATAGGAGTCAGCTGCCGAGCGTCTGAATTTTGATGACGTGACCATGGAGATGCTGCAATGGTGTGAAAACTGGTCTTAAGTCCCTTTTTTCAGTGCCGTTGTAAGTCCCTAAATGAACTGCTGTAAGTCAAGGACCACCCATAAAAGAACAACCACCAGAAGATACCCCACCCTACAACAATGGCAACCAAACAACCAAATGATCCTTGCAATGGGCTCCATCCCACTCTGAGGTCCTCAGGCCTGTTGGCAAAAGCAGAGCCTTGTGAAAAAGTGTCAAAGAGGGGAACAACCTCATAACTGGACACAATATTCCAAGTGTGCCCTTCCCAAGGCCTTATAAAGTGATATTAACACTTCACGTGATCTTGATTTTATCCCTCTGTTTATGCAGCCTAGAATTGTGTTGGCTTTTTTTGGCACCTGCAGCACACACCTGGCTCCTATTTTAAGGGATTGTCCACTGGGACTCCAAAATCCCACTCATAGCACTAGCCCTAGCCCTTGGACTTATATACCGCTTCATAGTGCTTTACAACACTCTGAGTGGTTTGCAATATCGGCATACTGCCCCATAGTCATAAATAAGCATTAATAATAGCATTTAGGCTTATATACCACTTCACAGTGTTTTACTGCCCTGTAAAGCGGTTTATAGAGTCAGCCTCTATTGCCCCCAACAATCTGGGTCTTCATTTTACCCACCTCGGGAGGATGGAAGGCTGCGTCAACCTTGAGCTGGTCAGAATCAAACTCCTGGCTGTGGGCAGAGTTAACCTGCAGTACTGCATTCTAACACAGCACCACCATGGCTCCTGGTATGTTCGTTAGTTAAACTGCTGTTGAGCCAAGTACCACCTATTCTATACTATGCACATTATTATTTTTTTTGCCTTGGTGTAAAATGTCGCTTTTCTCACCACTGAATTGCATTTTGTTGGATGTTTAATTCCTGGAATCTTGACTATTTCTACTATTTCTACTGTGTTTTCATTTTCTATTTGACTGCATTATATGCTGCCCAGAGTGGCTCTCTATAGCGAGATGGGAAGCCATACACATGTAATAAATAAATACAGTGGTACCTCGGTACTCAACTGCTTTGAAACTCATTGCATTTGATACTCAACACATTTCGACGTGAAAATTTTATCCCCGTACTTGCCGTTTGTGTAGTACTCGATGTACGAGCTAGAATTGTCGGTGTCAGTTGTGTTGTGACTCACTACATGTCTTATGGGGAAAAAAATTGTTTGGTACTCATCATTTTTGGTACTCATCGGAACCAATTAAGGATGAGTAACTGAGGTATCACTGTAATAAAATTTCCAGGCCGGGAGAGAAAGACTGGAAAGCCCCAGCAAAGGTTGGGCTAGGTAGACGAATGGTCTGAAGCAACCTCAGGCAGCTTTAGGATAGCACCCATCTGTGCCAATAAAGGAGAATATTTGTGGCTCAGGGTTGACATGAGGGGTCCTTGGTGCTCTCTGAGCTTGCCTGTTTTCTTGCAGACGTTTCACGACCCAACTAGGTGACGTCATCAGTGCTGGTCCTAGCACTAATAAGGAAACAAGCAAGCTCAGGAAGCACCAAGGACCTCTCACCCATCTGTTCATCGGTTGTTTGGCCTCCGCGTACAAACCTTTTTCTCTTTTAAGAGCAGGATTGCTTGCAAACCACGAGCGGGATGAGCCGAAGGCCGCGGCGACGCAGAATTCTCCTCCGACAGATTTGCTGGGTGAAATTTGTGGAGCCGGTTTGCTTTTGCTTTGAAAGAGAAAGAGGAGAAAAAAAAAGAGAGAGAGAGAGAGAGAGGAAGAAAGATCAAAGTCTAATTAAGGATGAAGTAATCCACCAAATGGAGATTTGCTGGAGGTGCAGTATAAGCTAGGGAACTTATTTTTCTCAGAACTACAGGAGAATCGATAAAAGCTGGGAGACAGAACTGTGGCAGCTCAGCGTTTCAGAAATGCAAATTCAACATGTCCCTTTCATAAGGCAGAAATAGCTGAGGATATTAACAAATTACTTGTTCAGCGACTTCAGCCAGGATTGGGAAGAAGGGGCCTCTAATGGCTTCTGGGCTTAAGGGAGGACAGGAGACGACCTACTACCTGGGTAGACCTTTCGGAGATTGGCAGCGGATTGCAAAGAAATAAACAGGATTCTTCACCCTCTCTCAAGACTGCACCTCTGAAACAGGGTTGGGGCAGTCAAGAATAAAAAGCATAAAGGAGCTAGTCCTCGACTTACGACCACAATCAGAATTCCCCGTTACTAAGAGAGGTGGTGGTGACGTGAGTTAGACCGGATTTTACGTCTTTTTTGGGGGGGTCAGGATTGTTAAGCGATTCAACACGGTTGTTAAGTGAATCGCACGGTCGTTTAAGTGAATTTGAATTTGTTGGTCAGAAGGTGGATTCCGGGAGGCTGCAACTCTTGGAAATTCATGCCGGTTGCCAAGTTGCCTGAATTTGGACCACGTGGCCAAGGAGACGCTGCCACAGTTGTAAGGGTGAGGACCGGTTCGTAAGTCGCTTTTTTTTTTTCCAGCGCCATTGTAACGGCTGCTAATGAAACGGCTGTAAGTCGAGGACTTCCTGTATACAACTAGAATCCTAAGGGGATTGAAAGGCTGCCCTTCTGTCAACAGATGACTTTGGGATTCTGCAGAGATGGCCATCAAAGGGAACCATGTTTGGATAATGTTGGGAGCTCCATATGAACTGAAGTAAACATACATTTCAGGAACGGTTTGAGGTCAGCTTGCACCAAATTCAGAGGAGAAGTTTATTTCCAAGCATTCCGTTCCCAAACTTTAATCACATTATTATTATTTGCAGGCGTTTTTTTTTTCTTCCTGTTGTTACCGACATTGTTGATTCAAAGGCAAAGCAAATGATCAGCCTTTTGTATACTGGGAGGAAGACAAGCTGAGTTAGACGAGCATGCAGAAGTAGGTATGGCAAATGGGAAGAGAAAGACAAGCATGCCTTAGAGAGTGACACTTACATGCATAACTTAATGTAGAGTTGCTGTTAAGTATACGGTGATTATCTATCTATCTATCTATCTATCTATCTATCTATCTATCTATC